AAGAATCGATACTAGCGCCACAAAATTTAAATTCCTGGAATAGCACATGGTAAAAATTTGGGGAAAATATGCAGATTTTGTTTCACTTTTCTTCGTAGAATGTACAACTACGTTTTGGTAGCTGCTCAATGATTTTTTTTGTCGTCCATTTCTTGTCGATACTTAATGAAATGTTGGGGGAATACACGTCGAAATCTTAGAGTATCGTCTTAGTTCTTAATAAGCGTCCTCCGTAGTCTAGGGGTAACGTTCCCACCTCGTGACTCAAGGTACGCGGGTTCAAACCCGGCGGAGGTCGTGGAATTTTTAAGGACGGAAAAATTCAGGGAACAAGTTCTCCGGGAGGGACTTTAAGCCGTGGGTCCCGTGTCGTAGCTTTACGGCACATAAAAGAACCTCATGTCCCAAGGGGACCACTGATCCAAATTCAGGACATTAACCGCCCAACAGTAGTCTCTAACGCCTCTGGTAGATGGGGGGAAGCATCGAGATACCGCTGAGCCATTAGAGGCCGAACTCGCTGGCTGAGTCGGGACTAATGGCACGCACCAGTACCGGTAGGGAATAGATACTGGTAGAATATCATAGGTGGATGCACAATGGACCAACAGATGGTCTAAATGCATGGGGAAACCCACCCTCTCCAATGCAATACAATAGTTCTTAATAATTCTCTCACGGATTCTCGTTATGTTTTCGGTTATCAATACATTTAGTGGGAGCCTGGATAGCTCAGTCGGTATAGTGACTGACTACGGGCTGAACGACTGAGTGGTCGGAGTTCGAATTCCGGTAGGGTCAAGAATTTTCTCTCTCCAAATCGTCTAGACTGGCTCTACTATCCAATGGGTACTGGGGGCAGTTTCCCCGGGAATAAAGCGGGCGGAGCGTGAAGCTGACCACTCACCTCAAGCTAATGCCGAGGTCAAGAATATGTGGATTTATACATTCACTCCTCCATACGCCTTCATGGCGTTGAGCTTAATTCGTTAAGCAGAGGGACAACTTTATCTTTACCTTTTACCTTACCTATCAGTATATTTACATTTTAAGGGTTGCATATCTGTGATTAACCCGAGCGAAATTACAGTAGAAATTATAAGAAAAAATGTTCCTCTTTTAGCCTGCTTCCTTTGTTTTGAAGAAATAAAAGGAGGCTTATGTGATAACCTTGCTGTCTCTCTGTGTATGCGTCTGTGCCTGTCCATCTGTGTGTGTATCCGTCGTAACTTTTGACGTTAAGAGGTTTATGACATCATGTTACTGTGTTCCCGTTATCGTTGCTTGGAAACGGGAGGTCTTTATGTCTGTGCCTATGTAACCTCCATTTTTTTTTTCATTTTCTATGTGGTCCGTGTCGGATCAAAGGAAAGTAGCCGATTAATTCTTCCCGGAATTTGTATGTGTATATCATCAGAGACCGCCTCTGTGGTCTAGCGGCCAGAGTTTCTGACTACAGATGCAGAGATCCCGGGTTCGATTCCCGGCCCTACCAGATTTTCTCAGAAGTAATTGGTCTGGATCGGGATCCACTCAACCTCGAGATGATAATTGAGGAGCCATTTCAAGGAAATAACGGCTCCGGTCTAGAAAACCGAGATTAACGACCTTGGAAATCCGTTGCGTTGACCACGTGACACCCTCTATCCGCAAAGGTTGGCACCAACTTCGCCGACAAGCAGCGGTCGCTCGGTCGGTATAGTTCGTTTGCGGACTAGAGGTCACGGAGTTTGTTTTTGTTTTGTATATCATCAGAAGCAAAACAAATCGTTGTATATACGTATATATACTTGTATATTTCAACCTGATGATAATCGGCTAATGACCGACGAGAAACAAGTTGCAGCCGACTTGTCTGATGGAATAAAGCTTGCTTTGGCGATCGATTCCGGTCATTTATAGGCTTCACAGAGAAGGTTCAACCTTAAGAAATACGAAATACTACTCTTAAAAAATTTTTATATTATATTTCATATTACAAGCTTGTATTACAAAGAGACATGTGTATGATCTCAGTTATTTAAGTATGGAGAGTATTTTTATTCTCAAAGGAAAGGCACCATTTGAATTCCACATCCAAGAAATAAGGGCACTGCTGGATGGCCTGGCAGCTGGACTTTCAGTTCGATTCATGCACACAAAGAAAACAGTGAAATGGCATGTTTACCAAACTGTTGATGTTTTCTGTTTTCCTCGTGTAGTTATGACACAGCTTTGTGTCACATCAGACATTCATACTAGTTTAATGCCTTGTCACTACATCCGCATTAATTCGACTGGTTTATCTCTTTTTGCATAAGTTCTTTGTGTTACACCATGATACGAGAGAGAAGTTTTTAGATGCTATGGTCGTACTGTGACATCTTGTTTGTTTCGACTCTGTTTTGTTTCAAATAATTCCGCTTGTGATTGTTTCTTGTTGCTCCAAACAACATCGCGTCATTCAGTAATCGGTTTAGGGTGAAGAGAAGGGAAGGGTAGGTTAATTATATGTAAACAATGATAATCATGTTGCTTTGAATGGAACAGAACTGCATAAAACTGGAATTCTGGGTAAGAAATTATGGTTCATAAAGAATTGTATTTGTAATTTCTATTGTGAATTTGCTGAGGACGAATTTAAAGTAGAGTAGGGGATAAATCGATGTTATCCAGGTAATACATTCTTGTTGCTAATTTATATTGTCATGATATAGGTGTATGACTATAGATGGGGTATGGGTTGGAAATTTGATTTATTGACACTACTCGAAACTACACATAATTAGAGCGCTGTTGCTAATCTCTATTCTTTACAAATCACCACAGCACCCGTTAATCCTACTCCAGCCCTCAGTGTCAACAGCCGTTTCCCGGTAATGGGTGTTAACAGTGGAGATTCTTCAGCATCCAGCGTTCCGATCCTCTTGTCACAGCCGCCCGTGAAAAATTCTTGTCAATTCTCGCAATCCCAACTGCCAGCAATCAACTATATCGTTACAATCTCTTATCAGTTTCCTCAACTGACAACTCCACTTAGCCTCCCTTGCCGAGCTCAACTGCACTGCCAACCGTCACCTCTCTCATTCATCTCTACATTATGAACTCAGCTGACCTTGGGGCCTCGTTATATAGACTCGGGGAGAACCCAACAGAAAACACCGCTTCCAACAATTCCTCTCTTTTTGTACTCGTGTTTATAGATCCGTTGTCAAGCAACGACTACTGTTTACAGAGTCAGCGCTCAGCAAAGGGTCTATACTGTTGTGCCCTAGGTTATTAATAGATCTATTTTGTGTGTAACTTATTAGAAAATAATTACAAATTTTATAAATTGAAATACGACGGGTGAATAACATGTTGAAAACCCGCCGGAAGTTGAGACGCCGTACATTCTGTAGTCATCCGGTGTCAATTGTACAGTCTATAGAAATTGCTGACAAATTAAGTGACGACACGAGGCAAGTCTCGATGTTGAATTTTAAGGGGCTCGGACGGGAGGATCCGCGAACATTCTGATTTTAGTAGTCGCTCAGAACAGTCGCGTGGCAGGAAGGAGACGCGATGGAGTCAGATGCCTTCCTCTTTCGTAAGCATGAGTACTTGCCTGTGTTCGGATCACTGATGGTCGTCAATATATAATTCTGGTTCAATGATTGTTTTGAGAAAGAAATACAGAGTGTTGGTTTGTGCCATTGAGGGGAGAGTGGCGGGGTGATGACTCGCCTATTACGCGAGCGCTACGTTACCGCCACGTGCCGCTGGGGAGGTAGGGGTCCTTCGTTGCGCAACATGTCACACTGCTCCCTCCTTAAGGCTGTTCGTCCCGAATAGCCTAACGGTGCATCCCCGTTCCTTTGCTTTGGAGGCTGTTCTTCCAGCATCTATTCTCCGGCCGTTACAACCAGTGTAACATGTTGCGTTACTGAAGGCGCCGTTTGGATTGTTAATTGGTTTATTCACCAACCTACAAGTAACGGCTAGTGGGTAGTTAAATTGTAGGAAGTGTAAAACAGGGCTGTAGTCGAAGGTTGTGTATGAGTTGATAGGTTGTTTGATGCAATAGTGATTTGTTAATTATATGTTGCTTTTTGTTGTGTTAAGTACTCGAGTTTTTGTGGGTCCCCTAGTGCAAGCGTGTTTTCCGCCGCACAGGTTAAAAGATATCCACGGACGTCCGATAGTGGGTGAATACAGTCACTGTCCCCTATCAGGGCACAGAAATCCGCCACAATATCTTCCTCAAATTTATTTCTATTTTACTAAGTAATAGAAATAGACCTATTGATGAATTTTAGGATCACATAGAGCTGATTCTGAGAACTATCTCCTAGTCCGTGACGTCGATTAGTGTGGTAGAAGTTAATTGATGTTTCGGAGGAACATACTGTCTCCATATTCAAGGTTGAAGATATGGTAAGCAAGTAAAGAGAATGAAGCAAAGAGGAAACCGAAGATGAAGGCATGGCGTTGCTCAGAAATGTCAATGAATTTGTACCAGACTTCAAGGCATAACATTCAAGATGATAATAATATTTAAAATACAGAAGCGTTCATGTAGCTTCAGCAAATATTATTTTACTACCGGAAGTCAGTGAAACATGAAATATTATTTTCAGTGACCATGTTTCAGACTCGTATATTGAAGTCGGACTAGCCACCCCCGTATAAAACTTCAGGTCTCTCTTCGTTCTTACCACCCTTAATATAGTTTCATTGTTCCTAACAGTTGTGGAAATTTGGAACGAAACGGTTCAGCATAACTGTTATTATGAGTTGATTATCTCTGTTATTTAATTATTTGTTGAAATCTTTGCCATTAGGTGTCCATTTCCTTTAAAACAAAACACTTTGTGAAAAATTATCCTATTAAACAAATGTATTCCAAGTAATCGTAATCTATTATTTTTCTGCAGAATATCAACGCAATGTTATATTTGAAGTTATTTCAATGTACAATTGCACTTGTAGACAAGTACCTCATGACAGAATTCTGTTTACACTGTTGAGTTCTGTTGCAGACGAGTTCTGTGAGGAGTTCCCGCACAATCTGATCCCTACCCCGGGCTACTGGATCGAGTGCTCGCGCCAAAAGATCGCGTCCGACACGATCTGGGACGAATCCGAATCCGAGCACGAGATACACGAAGAAGAAGAAGAGGAGGAGGAAGAGGAAGTTGGAGGCGGGACTCGAAACCGGGAACGCGAGGATGATGGTGGTGTTGGAGGAGTGGAAGAGGGGGCGGGAGAGGGACCATCAGGCATTGTGCGCGGAGACGAGTGCCTCCTGGAGGACGATGAAGACGACGATGAACTGCCGAAGAAGAAGACGGCCATCGAGGAGCAGTGGGAGAAGAATCAGGGCTTCGAACTCACGTCCGTGGAGCAAGAAACATACGAGAAGTACTTCTACGGTACAGAGCACTGGAATTACTTCACCAATGACGAGGACCTCGGCCCGGTAATACTGAGCATCAAACAGGAAACGCTGAATGGAAGGGACCAGTTCCGGTGAGTGAAGGCTTCCTTTGTTCTGAACTGTTGGTCATTTTCTGCCGTTCAGTTGATTACAGCAATCCATTTCTTTGTCACGGTAGGAGTGTGCCACTCTCCAGTCGTATTCACGCCAATAATTTGCGTTCTGTTGTTCGTGAGAACTACTGTTGCTGCTGCTGCTACTACTGCTACTACTACTACTACTACCGCCATTATTATTTCTGCTATTACCATTATGCTGCTGCTAATACTACTGTTGTGGCACGCGGTAGCGTAGTTGGTTGAGGCACTATGCTACAAACCGAAATATCGCGGGTTCGAGTCCCGATGAGGTGGATTTTTACAGTTGACCTACTCCTTCCAGCTGCATTATGACTCTGGGGTCGACTCAGCCTCTAACAGAAATGAGTACCAGGAATCTTCCTGGAGGTAAAGGGCGGCCGGCGCGTAAGGCTGACAACCTTGCCACCATCTGTGAGCCGATTGTATAGATAATATGGGACCGTCAACATCTCACAACCCTATGGGCCTCCATGGCCTGTTACAGGGATAGCTTTTGCTGCTGCTGCTACTACTACTACTACTACTACTACTACTACGAATAATGATGATATTATTATTATTTAGGTCTTCGTTGTACCTGGTAACCATATAGCTGCAGGAGCCAATACATCTAGAATGTTTGTAACAGAAACTAATACATTTCTCGGGCCGCACCATAGCTCAAGCGGTTAGTCGCTGGCTTCCCACCGTGGAGACCCGGGTTCGATTCCGGGTCTGGTCAGTGGGATTTGTGGTGGACAAAGTGGCACTGGGGGGTTTTCTCCGAGTACTTCGGTTTCCCTTGCCAATCTTCATTCCGCCAAACTCTGCATTATCATAATCACCCGGGGCAGGCTACAATAGGCCAATCAGTGGCTGCCGTGCCGAGTTGACCCAGTTAGACTCCACCCCTCACTAGTAGTAGTGATTCCGCTGGGAAGACAAAGGCGTAGGTGGGTGACCAATATTAAAATGGATCTTAGAGAGGTAGGGTGCGAGGTGTAAATTGGATTGATCTGGCTCAGGATAAGGACGAGTGGAGGGCTCTTGTGAACACAGTAATGAACCTTCGGGTTCCATCAAATTCTGGGAAATTCTTGAGTAGTTGAAGAATTGGCGGCTCCTCAAGAAGGGTTCAGCTGATTGCTGTGCTAAGCGTGCAGAATATTCAAGTCCTCATTGGAGTTGAGAATGAATAATGAAAATGAGGACATGCAGTGTAACAAATTGCGATAACTATTTATTAGCTAAATTGACCAGAAGATTGCTCTTAAAGAGTAGTAGTAGTAATAATAATAATAATAATAATAATAATAATAATTCTTTAATTCTTTATTATATACGTGCCGAGTCAACAGCCCCAAGGCCACTTACAGACAGAGCACAGTGTAGA